TCTCACTTCTCGTAGGATCTCGTAGACGTCGTTGTTCCTCTTGGCAGCCGTGAGCGCAGCGACGAGAATCGAGTACGTAGAGACACTGGCTCGCAAGGAGAATGAGTTCTTGGCTTCTCTAAAAAACTCTAGAGCACCATCTACGTTGCCGGCCTTGCAAAGTCCTCGCAAGCAGCCATTTAGATCCTGGATGGACAGCGTCGATCCATTCTCGGCCATGTCCTTGAGAAGCTCGATGGTCGCTCGGAGATTCCCCCGTTCGCTATACTTCACAGCGAGAGCTGGGAATGCCTGTTTCTTCCACAGCTGGAACAGGGCCTTGGATTCCTCACGCCTGTTCATCCTGTTCATGGTCTCGGTCATGAGCCTGATCGTGTAGCCCGTGTGCTTGAATCGCGACTGCCCCGAAGTGATCCAGTCGAAGAATGCGAGCGCCTTGTCCGAGTCGTGGAGCGCCAAGACTACCTCGTTGTAGACTCGATAATTGACGGGCATGGATTTCTTGGCGAGGAGCTCGGGGGAAGCCAGGCATTCGAGAATGGCCGTGGCCTCGGTGGAGAGGTTCGTCATCGCTGGAAGGATTGAATCCTTGGCACTGCCATGAAGAATCCTTACCCCAAATTTGGCCACATTTGCTCTCACCTGGCCATTGCTCCACATTCTCCATGCTCGTCTAGCGATTTTAGGGCTTTGGGAAATGTGCTGTTAAATTCAAGTATTTGGCACCTTATAAAAGTAAAGTGGTTAATATTTTTATTATTATTATTTTATTAATAACTAGTAATTTGTCCAGCTAATGCTAAGTAGTTTGGCAAAGACCAACATAACTTCGTGACAAAACCTGCTCACAACTCACAATCTCTTTGTTGATCCCTAGTTGCATAGGAATCACTCTTCTTCCTTTTAAGCCATCTAAGAAACTTCCTGAGTTTTCTGACACAGTCATTACCTCATATCACAACATTTGCATACTTTGTGAGACTTCACATAAAAACCCAATGGCCAAAAGAGGAGCCAGCAATCCATTTTTTTATGATGATGAAAAAATCAGAGAAGAAACTTGATGGGTTTGCACCACATAATTCAGCTGCAATGACCATCAAGCCTGCAATGCCACAACCTAGAGACATCCTGAATATCCCAGCATCTATAGCATTGAGGACCTCTACTTCACCCTTTGCTAGCCTTTTTGACAAACTTGAATTTATCTCTATAGGTAAAGGTATGTAATTGCATATAGACTCTTATATATTGTCAACTTCTGTGATTTTCAATTTCTTCCACCTCTTCCAGGATTGTGCTGGTATTTGTGAGCTCTAAGGTGGCTACAGCCCTATGGTAGTCAATGTTGACTGCTCCTAGGAATCAGAAATGGAAAAGAGTTCGAAAATTAAGAAACATGACTTAGAATGGAAAAAACCACTGTAACTGATTAAAAGAGTTTACAAACTAATGGAATGGAATTTTTTTTGTAACTGATTAAATCTCAATGGCCTCAATAGCTCATCTCTTTAGCCAATCTAACTGGATAAACCAGGTCAGTGTTTGTTAAACTATTGGACCCTTTAGAAAAATTAATACTGTTTGCAAGTAGTTTTATAGGACTAAAGCTATTAGATTAAGAACTATTAACTTTAGTTTAGTCCTTGTTAAGAATCAATCTACATGCATAAAATGAGCTATTAATAAGAATATACCAGGCTCACGCGAACCGGGTTCTCATTCACAGCCTCTGCTTGAAGATGGGTCATTCCACAATCTTGAGTGCTTATTGTGACACCAAGCACTTTTGCATTTTGAATGGACGGGTTATATGTGATGTGGCAGGGTACATTTCGTGCTTGGTTTAGAAACAAGTCACTGAAGATCGTGGAATGACCCAGATGAAGCTGGGGAGAGCCATGCTTCTGCTCAACACAATGGCCAAGAGGAGCTACGCTCCAGATGTGCGCTACGGCACCATCATCGCGCTTTTTGCAAGCAGGGACGGATCGATGAGGCGTTTGAGCTGCTCGAGAGGATGCTGTGATAAAGTCATGTTTAGAACGCTTGTAAGAGCGCTGTGCAGGCTTCAGGTGCGGTCTTTCTCCAAGAAAATCAGCTGCGACGGGATACAACACAAAACGAAACTTACTTGCAATGGTCAAGCCTGGAGAGATTTCAAACGTGCATCCGCTTCCCAGAACTTTGCTGCAGGAATCAAATATCCCATAAAAAACATATAGAGCACTCAGAAGAGCAACATGTAGTGTTGATTTTCTTGTCGCCAACTCCATCTTAACTCGTTTAACATGTCTGGGCGTTGACCCGGCTAAGAACCCTAAAACATGACCGTTGAAATATTCGGTTGGGATATGCTGTTTTTCATGCAGCATAGGGTTTATGTAGGGTGTCGCACGAAGGCGCGGGGGTGGAGATGGGGCGCTCGCAGGGTGCGGTTTTTCCACTGTACTCCACGAAGCTGCTCGCCTTGCTGTCTGTGATAGGTACCATCGCTGTGATGCTTCTTGCGTCCAAGGGTGTGGTTCGCAGTCCCGATGCTGAGCAATGTGTTTGCCGCCCGAAGCTTTGTGTTTGTCTTGATGGGATCTGCTACGACAAGATCTCTGTTCTCCGTGATGGTCCTTCGTGGACAGATGCAATGCAGCTAGAGCACGAGCTGGTCAAAGATTTTGCTCGCAGCAAACAGATTGGTAGAGGTGGCTTTGGAGAGGTCTGGCTCGCTCAGAAGAATTGTGATCCAGAAGATCGGGAGCAATACGTCATCAAAGAAGTGTGGGATGAAGCAGAATGGCAGAAAGAAATTCGTTTCGGAATCAAACTAAAGGACCAAGAGCACATCGCCAGGTAGGTAATATACTTGTTTGAATCAAACATTTAGCTCATTTTTTATTGCAGGTACATCACATCTGGTCATGACGCAGAAGGCAAGAGGCTAATCGTGTTCAGATACGAGGGTGTTTCCCTTTATAAGGCTATGTATGTGTCTGACCAAGGCATTGTGACGAGGAAGACGGTGGACGACAAGATGAGTATAATGACCCAGCTCTTGGAGGCACTCCAAGTTCTAGAGCGACACGGAGTTGTCCACAGAGATCTAAAGCCGGAGAATATTGTTTTGTCTTCGCAGGGTGAACTTAGACTGATTGATTTTGGAAGCGCAGTGGATTCGGGGAGGGAGATGCTTTCGCATAGCAGGTAAGATAAGTTAATGTAAAGATCTGTTATGTTTACTGATTGTGTTATTGTTATTTCCATTTTTCCAGTGATGAAGAAACTCAAAAATATGCACCTCCGCAAGCCTGGAAAGAATTGAGGAGTATGTCTCGAATTACAGGCGCATTTGATATGTGGAGCGCTGGAATTGTCTTCCTTGAAATGCATGGAGCATTGGATTGTCAGGAGACAACGTCAAAGCAAAAGATTCTTCTCAAGCGAATCAAGCTGATGAGTGAGTCCAGGAATTATCTTGAAAGGTAAGAGCAAATGATAATTGCCTTCTTGCTTACTGAAACTGACTGGATTATGTAGGCTGCAGGGACTTCTGAACATCTGTGTAGACTTTCGGGAAGGGCATCTCGGACTTCTTGAAGAGTTGAGGACAGTGAAGTTTGAGGATCTTTGTGGGGAAGGCCGCATAAAACGTTTCGAGAGCTGTGCAACCGAGAGGTACCGTTAGAGGCTTGGAAGCTGAAACAATAACTTCTTGGCGGTTACAGGATTGGTGCTGACATCGTTACTACCATTGGTGGCATGCTTCGCTTTGATGATGCTTCACGACTCTCACCGCAGAAGGCTTTGCACATGCTAAAAGGGTATGGAGCTGCTGATGATGTGGAACCCAGCCGAAAGAGGGCAGGGTCTGGAGCTGATGATTCTAGCCGAAAGAGAGCAAGGTTTGGAGCTGATGATGAGGAGCCCAGCCGAAAAAAGGCTCGTAGGCTGTGTAGCTAGGCAGGTGAGTCTTGCTTGATCTACAATCTGGTGCTTTTGCCTGATTGCTGACGGTGAATATTTGTTGTATGCAGGTGTGAATCGCTTACTGGATGACGTACGTGTAATTTAGCAATCTGGTGCTTTTGCTTGATTGCTGACGGTGAATATTTTGTTGTATGCAGGTGTGAATGACTTACTGGACGACTTACATGTAATTTAGGACGACTTACATACGACTCTCTCCTGTTTTGTATGAGAACTTGGCTTCCGGAACTTTTATAAAGCCTCTGTTGTTTTCTGAAGTTACGGCAGATGTTTCGGTTTAATTTTGAATGTAGATGTTACAGGAGCATAGACTGGTCCGGCATAAAGTGGAAAAATGAAGAAATCCATCTCTGGAACCTGGTTAAACAGGAATCGTGAGATCATAGAGTTCTAGAAAAAGAACGGGCACAATATGTAATTGCGAACGTTGGGGGTGAAAGGCTCAGGCTCAACAACACCCGCAGGAACGAACCAGGTTCTGAAAAAGAGACTCGGGCTCGCGCCGATCTCGTCACGAGTGTCGTCAAGAGTGTTGAGCATACACTGGACACTGTTAGAGGACTTGAATATGATAGAAATGCCGGGGTGGTGCAGATTTCAAGCCAGAACCATTCACAGCTCGAGAAGCATGGAACGATCTTGGCAGTGACGGATGCATATCATTTGCACACAACAGCCGAACCCGATCTGCAAAAATACCTTGGAACTACATGGTATAATGGGGACGCCGAAGCAACGATGATACGGACGGGGAAACAACGTTAGCTGCCATCCCTTCCATTGCAGCTTCTATCAGGAGAACACAGGTTGCAACAAAAGTCAGAGTCGCAAGAATATGTCCAGGCACTGGTGCGTTGAACAGACCAGAGATAACCCGACACTATTGATCAAGCGGGAAGCTAAGCTGAATATGCTGGAAAAAGTACAGAGCTTCCTAAATTGGAAGAACTAAAATGGCTGTTTGACTAAAACAGTGTCAATTTCTTATCCTCTCCCTTAGGGTTAAAGTAGGGTTTCAGACGAGGCAGCCAAGAGCTTCCCATTCCTTCCAGCAGGGGAAACTTTGTCTTAGGATGGCAGCTACGGTGATTATGCTTGGCTATGGCGACATGGACACAAGTGAATTTCAAGAACCAGCTAGCAAGGTAGTAAGAGCACATACTGAAGGATGCAGCACAGATGGGAGTCTGGATAAGTTGAGGTGGGGTGCATGCTCAATTCAGGGTTGGCCAGACTACATGGAAGATAGCTTTGCAGTATGCGTGGACAACAAGGATCTCATCCTCGGGGTGTATGATGGACACCGGGGCAGCAAAGTCTCCAGTTTTTGTGCACAACGCTTGCACATCGAGCTCCTACAAACTAGAGCAGATACTGGCAAAGACTTCTCAACATGTTTAGCTGAAACCTTCATGAGGATGGACGAGTTGTTGCTGAACAAGTCGAAACAAGATGAAGATTTGAAGCATCAGGGAAGCACATCACTTGTTGTGGTGATCAACGAGGGGAAGCTGGTGGTAGCAAACACAGGAGATTGTAGATGTGTGCTTTACAGACAAGGTAAAGCTGTGGAGCTATCCAGGGACCACTGTGGGAATGTTGGTTGTGAAAAATCTCGAGTAGAGGGAGCTGGGGGCTACGTAAAAGAGGGGCGTGTCTACAGCTCTAGTCTGGATTCAATGGGTTTGGGAGTCTCCAGGGCCATTGGGGACTTAGATTATAAGATGAACACTCAGCTCCCAACAGAAATGCAGGTGGTTATTGCCTCCCCTGAGATAACAGAGGTGGATATTGAAGATGATGAGTTTATTGTACTGGCAAGTGATGGCATTTGGGGATCGAGATCTAGTGATGATGTAGTAAAGTTTGTTGCTAAGCAGTTGAAAGATGGGGCAGTGAGCTTGTCGGGCATTTGCAGAGACTTGGCTGAAAGTTGTCTTACTTCTGATGGTAAGCATTCATCTTCTAGAGACAACATGACAGTCATCATTGTGCGACTTAGTTATTTTCAATCCCGGCCTGAGCTGATGCCGGAGTCTGGTCGTCAGAACCAGTCCGCAGGCACAGATCCCCGAGAAAATGAAGATGAGATCCATGAATCAACTAGGAAGAAACAGAAGTGTGGATAATATGTGAAGTTGCATAAAAAAGTTAATATACTCACCAAAAATAGCAATAGTTAGTATTACTATTTATTTTAAAAATAATTTTAACTCTAGATCAAAGTTTGCTGCAAGATTCGTTTGGTCAAGATCTCAGGAACCTGCTTCTATATTTCGTCGCAGCTGATTTGCTCAGAGAAAGACCGCAGCTGAAGCTTGCACAGCGCTCTCACAAGTGTCCTAAGCATGACTTTGTCACCGGCGAACGGCATCCTCTCGAGCAGCTCAAACGCCTCATCGATCCGTCCCTGCTTGCAAAAAGCCGCGACGATGGTGCCGTAGCACGCAACATCTGGAGCGCAGCCCCTCTTGGCCATGGCGTCTGTGGGAGTGAACAAGACCACGTCAGCACACAGCCACGTGAGCGATCCAGACGCCGCCACGGATCGTCACGATAAACCCATACATTTAACCATGTATCAACCGTCATAATAATAACACAACACCGTTTCATAATACCACATGGTATCGGAGCAGCGAACGATCTAATGGCAAGAGGACAGTGGCAGATGAAGAATCAAAGGGGCCAGGAACCCTTGGCTCAGGAGCGCGCGAGGGCTTTGGCAGTGCTGGCGCGGGTGGAGCGGAAGATCCAGGACCGAAAGCGCCAACAAGCTCTTTGCCCAGCCTGCCGGATGGTGTGCCCTTGTTGCGGCCGAGTTTTTCACGATTCTTCTCCACGCCGTCCTTTCTAAATTCTCTGTTTAATCTATTCTTAGATTAATAGATAGAATGTCTTCTGCTAACGCAGCAGGAAATTCTTGGGACTCTGGGGGCTGGGAGAAACTTCTCCAAAAGTTCACGGGACAGAATTTCTCCACTTGGAAAACAAAAGTACAGCTTATCCTTTTGGCCAAGGACTGCTGGCCTATAGTGGATGGAACGACTCAACGTCCGGCTGCTGCGGATGTAACCCAACGGCTCGACTGGGACTCCAAGAATCGAAAAGCGCTCTCTGTCATCGGGTTAGGTCTTGGGGATGAATTCGTTCATCTCCTTGATCTTACCAAAACAGCCCACCAGAACTGGACATCCCTTACACAAATCTTCGCTGCCAAAGCTGCCAATGCTAAGGTGGTGCTAACACAAAGGTTCTTCACGATGAGAATGCAACCTGATGACACCATGGCCACTTACATTGGAAAGTTTAAAGCGATGATCACCGAGCTGAAGGACGCGGAAGCGGCAATCACCATTGACCAAGCTAAGGCATTCCTTCTGAGCTCTGTCTCCCCTGATCTCCAACCTTTCGCATCGATGCTCTCGGCTGTACCTGGAAAGGACTTGGACTCGCTCTACTCGGACCTGATCGAGGAAGAACGAAAGCAGAACGAGCGGAGACAAAAGGCGCCCTCTCAGGCTGCTCGGGTGGAGCAGGCCTTGATCATGGGAAAGCAATCGGGTGGGAAGAAACGAGATGGCCCTGTTCGAGGACAAAAGAGCCCTTCTCCCAGCCCTGGATTTGCAACCAATAAAAAACGCAAGGGCCCATGTTACTACTGCGGCAAAGCTGGCCACGTGGAGCGTGAATGCCGGATCAAGAAAGCCGCAGAGAAAGCTCGCGCTGAAAGAAGCTCTTCTTCACGCCAACCTGACACGATGTTGATGATGACGCTCGCTGCATCTGTGTCCGAAGCCGAAGTGCTCTGGATGGATTCTGGAGCCTCGATGCACCTCACACCATTGAAGAGAGCTTTTCACAAGTATCGCCCACTGGAGCAGGAGAAGCAAGTCTTTGTAGGAGACAAACGCCCCTTAACAGTGGAAGGACAAGGAACGGTCATCATAAAGTTGGAGAGTGGAGCTGAGAAGCTCGTGAACCAGGTCTACTACGTACCAGAAGCAGGACAGACAGTGTTCTCAGTTGGTGTAGCAGCAGATCAAGGCTTCTCAACACTCTTCAACGCAGACGGATGCACCATCTTTGACGAGACTGGCCATCCAGTAGCTTTTGGTAGACGAGCTGAGACTCTCTACAAGCTCAATGCTCAGTTGATCCTCTCAACTCACGAGCAGGGGCATTTGCTTGCAATTCGCCCCAGCTCCTGGGCTGCCAACTCTCTCCAGCTCTGGCACGCTCGGCTAGGGCATGCCAATTCTCACGACATCCAGCTACTTGCTAGCCACAAGCTTGCTGATGACTTTACCCTCACCGGTGCCGGCCAACTGGGAGTATGTGAGACGTGCCAACTGGGGAAGCAGGCAAGACTACCCTTTCCACGCAGAAATCCAGAAGATGGCGCCTCAGGATTTCTTCAGCTGGTACACACGGATGTGTGCCATGTGCCAGAAGCAACTCTCAGTCACAAGCGGTACTTCGTTTCGTTCATTGACGACTACTCACGCTATGCGGTGGCTGTTCTCATGGCACACAAGGGAGAGGTCTACCATCACTTCCAGGTCTACAAAAGCTGGGCAGAAAATGCCACTGGCTGTACCATCCGGACACTACGTTCAGATGGCGGCGGTGAGTATATGAGCAAGGAGTTTCTGGCATTTCTTGCTCAGGCTGGCATCCACCACGAGTACACCGCAGCCCACACCTCGCAGCAGAATGGGGTCGCCGAGCGCCTGAACAGGACACTTATGGACTGTGTACGCTGCCTTCTCCAGCACGCTGGCATGCCCAAGGTGTTTTGGGGAGAGGCACTCAACACAGCAGTGTACCTCCGGAACCGGCTGCCAACACGTTCCACAGGACAGGTGCCGTTTCAAGTATGGACTGGGAAGCGCCCCAAGTTAGGGCACTTGAGGGTGTTTGGTTGCATAGCCTACGCCCACATCCCCAATGTTCAGCGGCGGAAGCTGGATCCCAAGAGCGAGAAATGCATCTTCATGGGCTATCACACCCAGGTAAAAGCCTATCGACTCTATAACTGCCAGCGCAGGAAACTGGTGGTGAGCCGAGATGTGGTGTTTGATGAAGCTCGTCTTTATCGAGATACCCTGAGACTCCCTCCTGTTTCTCCACCATCTCTGGTGGATCTTTCTGAGATTTTGGACGACGTTCCACATCTCCACCCAGCACCAGACAATCCAGCCGCTGCAGAGCCAGGAGGAGTTGCTGAAGGAGCGCCCGAAGGAGGCGATCTGGCAGGAGGAGCTGATCACGGTACTTCTCTTCCTTCGACACCTCCTCTGACGACTCCACAGGCCACAGCGGCTGCATCCTCAAGCACCAATGAACAGCCAGATCTTTCCACGCTTGTGGCTGACCTGTTCGTTGGCGATGAGTTATATCAAGATGCCACCACTCCTCCCAGCATTCCCAAGCTACCACCTCCTCCAGCCGGCACAGCAGTGGTGACACGCTCGGGTCGTGTCGTGAAACCATCTCTTAAAGCCAAGGAGGCGATGCCTATAGGAAAGCGTGCCTACTTCTGGGCTCTGTCGGCTCCACCTGCCTCTCTCGGTCCCCAAGCGGCTCTACATGGACCAGAAGCTGAACACTGGCAGGCAGCTATGCAGGAGGAGTATGATTCTCTCCAGAAAAACAACACTTGGTCGCTGGTTGAACTTCCAGCTCGCAGAAAGCTCGTCTCATCCAAGTGGTTGTTTAAGAAAAAGTACAACGCTGATGGAAGCATTGAGCGCTACAAGGCGAGATTTGTGGCACGCGGATTTTCTCAAGTTCATGGGCTGGACTACTCGGAGACTTACAGCCCGGTGGTGAAACTCACAACCATTCGTATGCTACTAATCCTAGCTGCAGAATTGGATCTCGAGCTCCATCAACTTGACGTTTGCACTGCGTTCCTTAACGGCGACATCGATGAAGAGGTGTATGTGGCTCAGCCTCCTGGTTTTATCCAGCCTGGAGAAGAACACCTCGTTTGCAAGCTTAACAAAGCTCTCTACGGACTCAAGCAGTCGCCACGCCAATGGTACATGAAAATAGATTCTTTTCTAATTTCCCTTGGTTTCGTGCGCAGTGCTGCTGATTGTAACCTCTACATATATTTTGACGCTGAGGGCTATTTGTTCCTTGCGCTATATGTGGACGATGCTATTCTCGTGGCAAATCAGCTACGTTTGATCCACAAATTTAAAACGTACCTTGGCGCTAAATTTGCCATGAAAGACCTCGGTGAGTTGCATTTCTGCCTCGGTATCCAGGTGACGCGCAACAGGGAACGAGGCACTCTGGAGCTAAGCCAGGCAAAATATGTTTCCGACGTGCTCCAGAGGTATGGCCTTGCTCATGTTAATCCGGTTGCTACTCCCATGGAAACAGGCTCGAAATTATCTGCTGAGAGTGGAGAGTACCTTGATCAATCTCCCGAGGAGGAGAAAGCATCTAGAGCAGTCTATCGCTCTATGGTCGGCAGCCTGATCTACCTGGTAATCTCCACTCGGCCTGACCTTGCATATGCTGTGGGAACAGTGGCGAAGTACCTGGACCGTCCCTCCACAGCACACTGGCAGGCTTTGAAACGTATTATGAGGTACGTGGCAGGGACTAACCAGCTAAGTTTAAAGTACTCCAGAGGCGAGAGCGGCAACAAGCTGGCTGGTTACTCTGATGCTGATTGGGCCGGGGATCCAGACAACAGGAAGTCAACCACAGGCTACGTTTTCCTGCTAAATGGAAATGTCGCAAGCTGGTGCAGCAAACGACAGGCTATTACAGCGATGTCGAGTACTGAGGCTGAGTACATAGCTGCAGCAGCTGGAACCAAGGAAGCAGCGTGGCTGAAGGGACTTCTCCAGGATCTACAAATCAACACGGGCGTGGTCAAGCTATTGTGTGACAACCAGTCTGCAATAGCTTTGACCAAGAACTCCAGGTTCCACTCTCGTACTAAACACATTGAGCTGCGCTTCCATTTCATACGAGAGCAGATCCAGAGAGGAATGATCGAGCTGGAGTTCTGCCCGACAAACTCCATGCTAGCGGACGTGCTAACAAAACCACTTCCTCGTGTTAAACATGAAGTCTTCACGAAGGCACTTGGGCTGACCTTAGACGTTGGCCTTGAGGAGGAGTGTGGGAGTGAACAAGACCACGTCAGCACACAGCCACGTGAGCGATCCAGACGCCGCCACGGATCGTCACGATAAACCCATACATTTAACCATGTATCAACCGTCATAATAATAACACAACACCGTTTCATAATACCACAGCGTCGAGCAGAAGCACGGCTCTTTCCAGCTCCATCTTCAAGCAGAGGCCGTGAATGAGAGCCCGGTACGTGATCGCGTTGGGAGGAGTACTGTCACTCGCGAGCATCACCCCGAAGAGCCTGTGAGCCTGGTCGAGTCTCCCGGCCTTGCAAAGAGCGCTCATCACAGTGTTGTAAGTGTAAACGTTGGGAGCTAGCTTCCGGTCGAGCAACCTCTGGAAGAGCTCCACACACTCGTCGGTCCTGGCATTCCTGGCGGGCCACTTGAGAAGAATCGTGTAAGTGATGGCATTGGGATCACAGCCTCTGGATACCATCTCCTGGATCAGT